ATGCTTTAAAGGTCGTTTCTTCCACCATGCAACAGGAATGCCGGACAAAAGACCGTTATTTTAGAGGATTAAAAACATGGAACTCTCTTTCTTCGTCTGTGTTAAATGCAACAACTGCTAGAGCTTTAATAAAAAAAAAGCCCTGCCAAATTATTTTATAATATAAAGTGCTATAATTAAACATTTATGAATTAATTGTCATATTATGCTATGTTACTAATGTTATATTAAGTGTGTGTAACTGTCTTTGTAATAAATGTTTTTTTTTTATGATGTGGACCCCGGGAAGAGAAGCCATTGTTACGGCAACGGCTAATGGGGATCCAAGTAATCAACAATAAGCAATAATTTTCATACTTTTACTAAAATGGCTGAATCTACATTGGTTTTACGACAAGTTTTATTAAAATCTCTGGCGTGAAAGGCGGCAGGCGATATGCTTCAAGGAAATATCCAAATGGAAACCATAAAGTCCGGGGGCTAAGTGTTTGTCCTTGACGTTCTCCAGTTATCCATTAATCAGTCCTTAAGGTTCAGCCTTTCCTTTAAAACCTGCTCAGGTTCTGATGCCATTAGTGGTTCTGTCCGGTCCAGTCTCCGACTACATCATCGTGTCTCGGTAACCTTCATTTCCTCCGTCGTGTTAGCTGAACCGTGTTGGCTGACATCAGACGGTCAGAGCAGAGCAGGCCGTTTTGTTCCTGAAACAGTTTTCCACTAACACGATGTAAACAGTGACTAAAGCTTCATGTGGAGCTGCAGCCATGATTTCCTCCTGCGCACACGTCATGACCAAAATGAACGTCCCAGCGTTTATTTGTGGGTCGTTGTTAGCGGTTCCGCAGCCATCAGCCTCTGGTGAGACACGTGGAGTCTCCTAAACACTGAAGAAGGTCCAGAGAGTGTGGAACAACAACAGAATGAACAGATAACGGTCGTCGTTGCTCCACGCCAGGCCTGTCGCAGTAAACAATAAATCAATTAGTCGCATGATAAATGAAAATCATAGAACTCATTTTCATTTATCGGCTTTTTCGTTTCTTCGTGTCTCTCTCTTTCTACTGAAGACACTGGATGACAAAAGGCCAAAATCGCGTTTTTGGATCGTTAGAAGCAGCTAAGCTACGAGCTAAGCTAACAGGCCGACCGCGGGGAGAAAAAAAACTGTCTTGTCGAAGCTCCAAAATTCACGGTTGAAACCCGTGCCTTCATGTAAAAAGTTGTTTTTCTCTGCAAAAAGAAGCTGAGAACTTGTTTACTGTTTATTTTTTAAAGCTTTGTTTGAAAAATGCTATGCTAAAGAGCTCGAACCACACCGAGCATCTGCCATTTTCAGAACTGAAAAACAGGAAAGAGAGACAGACCATGTCACGTCAAGGAGCCTCCCTCCCATTTTTCTTAAAGAGACACGCTGCTCATTCCCTCACTATCCATCCTTCGGTTCAAACAGTCTTCTACTGCCATCCAGTGGTCAAAAAAGATACAAACTCAAAATAAAATCAAAAATTTTTCTTAAATTTGACAATAATTACTAATTATTGTCAAACAATATTATCGTTTATCGCAATAATTTCTGAGACAATTAATCGCCCAGCAAAATTTGTTATCGTGACAGGCCTACTCCACGTATCCGATGACCCTTTCATGGCATGTTGGTGGTGGACGTTACGAGAGATCTGGAACGACTCCTCGTTCTTCTACAGGACAGACATTTTGTGCCCTGTGCCCCAGTTTTTCAGTATTTGAGTTATTTTCCTTCATATTACAGGACCAATATTATGGACCAATCAGACAGCTGCTAACAGGTGTGCATGTTTAAGCCCCGCCCCTTGCCGGCATCACGTTTAATAAAGTTTGTCACTTAGAAAAGTAAACGTTTGCTAGTTTATTATGATGCTCAACAGAAAGCAGCTCAACTTTCAGTATTTTTAGCTTCAGATAAATTAGTTTGAGTTTCTGGCAGCTTTGTGGGACAAAAATTATTCTTCAAAAAGACCATTTCTGGCCCACGGGCCACATGTTGAATCGCGCTCAGTGTAACCAGATGCAGCGGCTGCTTCTTTCATCGGCATGGTTGACTCTTAAACTTGAATTAAATCTGTGTAAAACATTTCTCCATCATTCCTCTTGTTTGTATTTTTTCGCCTCCGTTTTAAAACTTTACCTCTGAATCAACCGTTCGCTCCTACTTTCACGTTTAGTTTGTTTAGATTCATCTGTCCTTCCGGAGGACATTAGAGAAACTCCTGAAGGTGTTTAGCTGCCGATTCTGTCGGGGTGATGAGCTTGAAGGAAAGCAGTCGGATGCTGCAGCTGAGTGTCGTGGGAGAGACGAGCAGAGAAGATCCTACAGACCTGGAGGTTTTCATGGAGGTTATTTCATGACCACGACACTCTCGTCGCCATTTCAGCCTCTCCTGCAGGAAGATCTGCTGGATCTGGATTCCTCTGGTGGTCCTACAGGAACCGTTGTAATGTAGATTAATTACCTGACATGAGCCGAACTGGAAGTCATGAGTGCTTCGAGCACAAAGATTTGAGGGTCGGAGACCAGGTCGCTTGTTTATGTCGATATAAGCTTCTACTATTTTTAATTTTCTGTAATATTGATGGTGTTTGGAGAACTTTGTATCCTCTGACGTGGTACTTAACAAGAACCACCCGTCCTTCAGGACAGTAAACCCCACACGGAATTGTTTTGGAGAAACCAGTTTTCTCATCTAAATTTCCGTATTTTAAACAAAATGCAACAAAGCGAACGCGTGCGCGGGGTTCTCCAGATCCACTCGTGATCTCCGTCAACCTGCTGTAGATCACGTGAGAGAATGATGGCATTATAGACGCCGACAGGTCAGCTGGAGCCTCTGGGTTTGACTGGATCCAGTTGCTCAACTGGCCTCGACATCCATCACAAACAAACAAGAGGCGAGACCAAACACGTGTCGGGCGTCCGAGTTAGTCTTAAATAAATGCTCCAACTGGTTTGTTTCCTAAACGCTTTAGGGACATTTGAACATAAAATGTTTTGTTTTGTTTTTCAGTTAATTATACGATGAAAACACAAAGGAGACACTGAAACAGCAACTGTGGCTCTGATGAAGCACGATCGTCTACAGTTCAGTTGTGACATCAAAGCAGATTTGTGAGTCTGCGGTGTGTGTGTGTGTCTGCGGTGTGTGTGTGTGTGTGTGTGTGTGTGTGAGTCTACGGTGTGTGTGTGTGTGTCGGCCTCGGGGGCTCGGCGTTTGGCTGCAGACCCCAGACTGTCACAATCTTGCGTCCTGTTTTATCTCATTAAACGTCTACATGAGAACGTCGGCTCGTTCTCTGTTCTCACGACGCTTCTTCCTTAAAAACAGAACTTTCCTTGTCCTTTAATTTATTCCATTTAATCCTCAAACGTTAGTCTGTAAAGAATAGTCAACACTAGTGGTTAACACATGGAGTTCTGTAAATAAATTTACTCGTTTCTTTGATAATAGTCAAATAGTGTCATCTATGCATTTGTGTGTGATTGACCTTTGACCTGGTGACCCCTGGAGCTGCAGGACTTGCATGGGGGGTCTCGTCAGTGCACAACTCGTGGCTGTTGGCTCCACGTGGACCCGGCACCTGCGAGGAGGACCGCCTACAGGTGGGGGTCTCTGCTCGAGCTCATTCCTGCTGAAACCAGGTTTTAATCTGTGATGTTCTAAATTCAGGCCGTTTACTGGAAATCAGCCTGAATTAAACAAAAACTTAAATACAGTAAATACAAGAAGAGGCTTCAGAAAACAAACTTATGTTTTATATAAAACTAAAGATGGCTGATATTTACCTTAAAAACAAACAGACTGATGAGTATAGATTTATTTCTAAAGGTTATCCAACAGATTTAAAAAAATAAATAAATAAAATCTAACGGATAATACAGGCTGATGAAAGTTTGAACATCTGAGCTCCTTCACGTTCATGATTTAACGTTTACATCATTTTATTTCTCCTTTCCCGTTTCTACAGTCAAAATCCAGTAAATACTGTGAGCCAAAGTACTTTTACAGAAAAGTACGCAGCTCTGCTCGTACTCATCCGAACGTTTCTGTTCGCGTTCATTAAAAACACATTCACACTTTTTCTACCGTTTTAAACTTTAAAATAAACTGCAGCGCACAAATCAACAGCGTTATAACCGTTAAAACTTATCAAAGTGAACTTTATCACAATAAAACATCAGAGACGCCGTTTCACTGAAGGAGCCTAAATTTTATTTGTTAAAACATTCAGCAGTTGTTTGTGACGAGAGATAAACTACATATGGGTAAAAATAAAACAACTTTATTAACAAAAGAGAACGCGGCAGAGCACAGCAGCCTACAGTACTAATCAGAACATCCATTATGGTTACAGATAAATATTGAAATGCTACAGCCACTCAGATTTACTGCATGATATTTACTGGACAGCAGCCGCAGCCTCGTCCTGTTGGCCTGCAGCGCCACCAGCTGCCCGCTCAGCACCGTTACAGCAGCTGGGCTGGGGGGGACCTTCGCTAAACATCTTCAAAAACTCTACAAAACACCACGAAACAATCTGCACCTCCGGACCATGTAGAAGTCGAGTTACAGGAGAGAAAACTGGAAGAAAACAAGGTGATGGGGTCAGAGTCCGGCCCGATCCAGGACCCGGATCATCCACCGCTCTCTCCAGGTTTGGATCATCAGAGTGAAAAGGTTACATTCGGTTCTGAAACGTCCCTGCAGAGGTTTGTTTGTAGCTGATGTCCAGCTGCAGGAGAGGGCGGTGCATGAAGCCCTGAAGGAGCTTTAACCACGAGCATGTTTCCTGAAACATTCATTCCCTCGTTCAATTCATCCGTTTGGTCAGAATGAAACCGTAACGAGCTCAGCTGTGCCACTGCAGGTTGGGTTTGTTTTTTGTTTTTTAATTAAGAAGCAGAAAAAACAGCCATGCGTCGGTTGTTGAACATGCGTTTACAGTCGCTTCGTAAGAGAGGAGCTTTTCATTTAAAACGAGTGACGCTCTCCGTTAAAGAGGGTTAAAACGGAAACGGTCCAGGCACGATAAAAATCACAGGCGTGGTCGGCGAGGCAGAGATTCTGCTCTGAGGTCAGCGGGTCGGGCCGGTTCTGTGTGTTTTAGGCTTCCAGTAGGCACGGAGGAGCAGGGAGAGGGGAGCCAGGTGTGGTGCTGAGGCGGGCGTTGCCTAGGCGACCACCCACTGCAGGATGCTGGTGTCCTTCCCGCCGGTGGAGATCAGGTGACTGTTGTTGTGCAGGAAGGCCACGTTGGTCACATGACTGCTGTGCCCGCTGCACTCGTGACCTGGAGCCTGAAACACGAGGAAACCAGAATCAGGACGACCGGATCGTTTGTTTTACTGAAACTCGTCAAACAGCTCCGGCTCCTTTTCTTTAAGGCCGGACTCCTCGAGTTAACGAGAGCGTCGCCTTTCGGCTGATTTAAAATCAAATTTACTGAAACGCAAAACAACAAACGTTTCTCTCCGTCTGCACTCAGGACTGCTGGAAGCTGCTTCCTGGTGTAATAATCTGGAGGAAGTCATTTCAGCGTGAATGTGAGCTGCGGAACACGCTAAAGCTTACTTTAAATACATCAACAGCTGAAAGGAACGAAAAAGAGCTGAAATTAGCAAAAGAAAGCTAGAAGTAGCCAAAATATGCTGAAATGAGCTAAAGAAAAAGCTGAAAGGTGTAGAAACTGCCTATTTTAGCAGAAAAGACCAAATTAACATAATAAGCTAAAATTAAAATCTGTTGAAATAAGTTGGGGGAAAAAAAGCAGAAAAATGATTAAATCAGTGGGAAAATAGCTGAAATGTAGCTGAGAAAGCAGAAATAAGCTGAAATTGACTGAAAGCAGTTAAAATGAGCTGAAGGAAGCTGAAAACAGAAAAAAACAGAACCAAAGCTGAAAGGAGCTGCAAAAGGTTTTAAAGGCTTGGAAGGTGTGGACCAAATATGGCCGCCAAAGCTAAATGTGTCAAAAAGTTTAAACTAAAGTCTCGGCAGGAATGTCCTGAATGAGCCGAACGTTTCGAGACACGAACTGTTGAAACAAACGCTTCACTTAACGATGCATCTGCAGTTTGAGCCTTTAACTCCCCTCTGGAGCTTCAACACCTTGTACCTGTTTGGAGCATTTAGGAGGCGGAGCCAACACAAATATTTGTTTCTGAACGCAGTTCGCTTTCACAGCCCGATGAAAAAATACGTTCCATCACTGACCCGGAGCTGAAAATTTATTTTTCTGCAGAACTGTTAAGGGTTTATGATAAATATAATCCAAGGTGAACGTGTTGGAGCGCTTCACGTCATCAAACTGTGCATGTGCACGTGCGCGTGCGTGCGTGTGTGTGTGTGAGAGAGAGAGAAGGTGACCGACCCTTGGTTGAGAACAGGGGAAGGAGAACAAGTGCACTTTGCCAAAATCATCAGCGGAGGCCAGCAGGGACCCGTCATGTGACCTGCACACGGCGTTGATGTCCGTGCCGTCGGCTCCATCTGGCCAGATTCCTGCGAGACAAAGAGAAGAAAACAGCAGGAGACTGAGGAGGAGACAAATATTGACGTTGACTTCATGTTCTAAAAGCGCTGCGCTGAGGGTGGAACACGTGTCAGGAGCCGGACCTGGGTCTGGTTCCTGGGCAACAGTTCCTCGTCTAACTCCAGTCCCCACACAACCTGTGATGTTTTAAACAAGGGTTCTGCGTACGGCCCATTAAACACCCATCAAACTATCATACAGCGATCCATGGCAGTGACCCGGACCAGCAGAGACCACAGAGGTCCAGTTCCAGCTAAACGAGCCTCTTGAGTCCACTGCAGACGACAGGAAGACCAGGACTCTGGCAGCTGCAGAACAGAGCTGGGAAGGCAACGAAACACGTTCTGAGAGGTACACAGCTGACGTAAAGTTGATGCAGAGATGCATTGTGGGAGATGTGGTACGTAAAGGATGCCCGACGCCCCCCTCCTTACTGAAGCGCTGCTGGACGACGGGCTCAGTTCGATGAGCCTAAACCCAGACTGAAGGAACGGCTGGTTCCACTCTGCAACCTCTGTGGTGTCACCAAGATTGTTGCACCGCTCGTCTTCTGCAGACCTGCTCGAATCGTTTGGACAGATTCATGTCAAGACCTTGAGTTGTGACCTTGACCTTGGAGCTGAGGTGACAAAGTGTACGTAGTGGTGGTTTTGATGTGCAGTGAGCTTCATTAAATCATCAAGCAGATTAAACGGACACCTTCAGTTCAAATTAGAAATACTTTATGAATCTCAGAGGGAAACTAAATGCAACATCATCCTGGTTTCATTAAGAGTTGTTCTAGATGCTGGTGCTGTGGCAGGAAGGATCTCTCTTGTACTGTGGATCTGAAGAAACCAGCTGCAGACGTTGATCCGTCTACTTGGACTTGGTGGGTTTCTCGGTCTTCCTGGGCAGCAGGACCGCCTAAATGCTGAACAGAACTCCTCCCTGAGCGATGGCCACTCCTCCCAGCAGCTGGATGAGCTCCTCATCATTGCAGACAGACAGCTTCAGGTGTCAGTGATGATTCTAGTCCTCCCGCTGTCACGAGCCGTCTTTTCCACCAGCTCCAGGATTTCGGTGATCAAGTATTTGAGCACTTCCGCCAGGTAGACGGGGATGCATCCACGGTGCCTCCTTTTCAACTCATTTGGGATTTGGGGCTGTAGTTGAGGTGTTATTTGAGCTTTTGAGATGTTAATCAGCTGCTCCCAGTTGTAAAAAAAACAAAACAAAAAAAAAACACCTTGTTGTCATGGTTACGCATCACAACAAATATCCAAAAGTCAAAAAGGCTTCAGTAAAAATCCTTCCAGCTGCACGGCATCCGACACCAGAGGAAACAATCATCCATAAAAAGTGATTTACATCCAGAAAAAGGAGGAATTCTGAAACAATAACTCAGAATGAAACGGAGCTGCTCCACATGCGGCCGCCTTCAGCGACGCAACTCTAGAATTCTTCGACGGGCGAATAAGAACTGATCGACCTACCGAAGGTGTTGAAGCTCAGCGTGCAGGTGGAGGTGGCCCACTCCAGGTTGCGCACCGTGTCCATGTTGGTGACGTGCTTCCCGCTGCCCGCCTCCCCTGAAAACAAAAAAATTAAACGCCCTCATCGCGCCGTGCGACTTCAACACTCTGAACGTGAGAGAACTTCCGACGGTTTAGAATTTCAAACTAAATTCACACCCGTAGAGAGAATGAAACCTACAGAAGAGGATCTCGTAATCTCCTGAGTTGGTGACGAGATAGTGGCTGTCTGCTGACCAGTCCACGTGGGTGACGAAGCTGGAGTGACCCTGATGGAGGACAAACAAAATGAGAATGTGTGGGCTTTTACTTTGAAACGATAAACAGCAGTTCTAGTGCTCAAACCGCTGCTTCGTCTAGTTTTTCATTTCCCGGAGCTCCAAATATAAAAAGGTTTGCTGCGTCGCGTAAAGGTGGACTCACCACACACTTCCCCACACGGCTGTACTTGCGGCCGTTCTCGGTCACAGCGTAGATGTACACAAAGTTATCATGTGACGCAACAGCCAGGAAGTTCCCGTCTGCAGACACCAAGAGCTCACCGTTACCGGAAACACCGCGGGGCTCGGCCGTGTTCGTACTTATCGGACAGCTCACCTGGAGAGTACTTGATGTTAGAAATGATCTCGTTTCCATCGGTGTGCACACAGACCAGATCCTGAGTGTCGGTGTCCAGCACCAACCACCTGAAACACACGAGACGTCTTAAAACCCGTTCATGCTAGCTCACGGTAGCAGAAGGCTAGCTGAATACCAAAAGTAGCAAAATATCTAAATGAAGCAGAACACTCGCAAAGTAGCAAAAGACTAGCTGAAAGTAGTGAAAGGCTAGCTAAAGGCTAGTTTCACAAAAGCTAAAAAGGTAAAAAAAAAAAAAAGGTTTAAAAAAATGCCACTTAGATGCCCAAATTAGTAGAAAACTAGCTAAAAAAGTAAAAACTGTTGGCTGTATGACAAAAGCAGCAAAGCATTAGCT